TTCAGCAGGGTAGGTGGACTCATGAGTATCCTGGAAGCGCAGGCAAAAAGTAAAATACAAATCCAAAAAAAAAACAACAGCCAACGAAAAGTATTCACTGGTTTAGAAACTGAGCGATTATTCCTTAGAGGACTATGCAAAAACAGGCCAGGCAAATACACTCCTGCTGTAGTTCCTCTCTTGCACAAGGGGCCGCCGGTCTAGGGACGTACCATGCAGTCCAAACACACCGGCCCGGTACAGGGGGGCCTCGGACAGGTCAGTGAGACTATGAGAGCGCTCAGGAGCGGGACCCACGTATGCCAGTCTGGCCCTGGGTAAGGTGGCAGAGGAGGGGCTCTCCTCCACTGTTACAGAAAAGAAAAAACCCTCAACTCACACAGGAAATCAAGAAATGTCATTGAAGGATACAAGGTAGGCCTACTATGGACATAGAAGAGTTACATTTCTACAAGAGTTCTTGGGTGATTTTGCCAATCCTTGTTGAACCTGGAACAACATTCCCAACAATCTGATTTTAAAACTAGGTTTAGGGCTAGGCCTAAGGCTGTGGTTGGAGCCTCAATTCACACAGGAAATCGATGAATGGCATTAAAGGATACAAAGTTGGCCTAATATGGACATAAAAGAGTTAGATTTCAATAGGAAATCTATGGTGATTTTGCCAAGTCAAACATTCTTGTTGGTCCTGGAACAATGTTCCTAAAAATCAGATTTTAGGGTTAAGGATAGGCTGAAGCTTCAAAAACATTACTATCCTCTCATTTTCCCTTTGGTTATAGGGGTAGTTCTGGTTAGGGTTGGGTTTAGGAATAGGGTTAGGACCTGTTCCAGGGCAAACAAAGGACATTGAGCCAGGAACTTGGCAAATCCTACTTGGCAAATTGCGGTTGTCACAAGGGTTGATCTACTAATGAAGGACAAAGCTTTTCTGTAGATTAAAGTAGTACACTCTGAATTGGTCTAAATTTAACATCTGAGCATCTGAGAGACTGAACATCCAGATTAAGCAAATGCTTTCTCAGTCCTATATGGTACAGTTATGCTTAAATCTCAAGCTACTGAAACTCTCTTTTGTGGACACAAGATCAGAAACTACACGGCCAACACTATGTGGATACCCCCTTTAAATTAACCACTTTGACTAGGGGTCTAATGACAACAAATGTTAATTCTACAAAATACAGTAACAGTATATAGTAGTTCCAATTTTGTGAAGGGTCTTTTTCTGCTACAGCATGACTATGTATGTCCATATATACATTATTCTCTTATGGCAGAATTTGACTGGCCTGCACAAAGACCAAACCTGATCTTCTATTGAACACCTTTGGGATGAATTGGACCACAGACACTTACTGATGCTATTGTGTCGAAATGGGAGCAAATCCCTACAGACTTGATTCAACATCTAGTGGAAAGCCTTCCCAAAAAGTGAGAGCTGTAAGGGAGGATCAAGTACTTGTTAATGGCTATGACATTAAATGTGTATCAGTCACCTATGTGGTGTTCAGATGCCCACATGTAATACTTTGGCCATATAGTGTAGGTACGTTGGAGGTTTTCAGTACAGCATGCTCTCTCTGAAAGATGGACTGAAAAAAGGCAGAGAATGTTCTTCTTGGTTATGCCATTCTGGCTGAACATGCTCTGCCTCTTACCTTTATGTGGGTAACAGCATGACCATGCTGAATGGATTAACTTAAACAGGAAATATTGCAAGAAATGCTTCTAACCATAATCAGTCCAAGGTCATATTATGAAAGGAGACGCATGCTCAATGGATAACTGAGTCTCAAGAAAACAGGAAGCATTCAGGCTTAGCTCGAATAGACTGTACAGGTAGATTTAGAGGATTAGTTTATGCAAAAAATGAAAATTCTGTCATTATTTACTCCCCCTTATGTCCGTCCAAACCTGAATGACTGACTTTCTTTCATGGAACAAAAAAGGAGACATTTTGAGTAATGTACTGGCTGGCTTTTCCCATACATTTACAGTGAATGGAGATAATAATGCTTTTGAACTTCAAAAAGGATGCAACAGTACTGTAAAAGTATAAGAGTAGTCCATATGACTTGTGTTTCTTTTACAAACAAGAAGACTTACTTGGCACAGCCATGAAAGTTCTGGAGAGAATCAGTTATGTCCAGTCTATAACTAAATGTTTCATTTGAGTTTAAAGGGGTCATATGATGCTTTTTTAAAGATCATTATTTTGTGTATTTGGTGTAACAGAATATGTTGACATGCTTTAATGTTAAAAAACACATTATTTTTCAAATACTGTACATTATTGTAGGTCCTATATGCCCCGCCTCTCTCAAACGCTTCGTTTTCAACAAAGCTCCCTCCTTTTTTTTTGTGATTTAAAAAGTTTTTGAAATAATAACATTACAAATGTTGGATGACAGCATAAATACCAAGAAAAAGAAAAAGAAAAGAAAACAAACAAACAAAAAAACAAAACACGCAAAGGACTCAAGTACAGCAAGTAATTAACACTTCAGGGTAACTTAAAAGAAACATACAAATAAACCCCGGCAGCAAATTACCACACAGAATAATGCATCATCAATTTAAAACAATTCTTTTAAAAAAAGTACCTTTAGAGCTATTGTTACACAGACTGCAATTAGGATTTGATGAGAGTTTCATCAAGTATCGCTTATATGGGGTACAATACATTTTGTGTACAGTTTTGAAATGAATAAGAATGTGCGAGGGGTTTTTGGAGGTAAGACAGAGATTTGACCAAACTTTATTCCAATCAGGACTATAGCCCAACCATGAGAGTTCTCTCTCCCACACAGCTAATACCTTCAGGGTCTTATATGAACATTCAAGTAGTTGTTTATAGATCAATGAGACTGTGCCCTGAATTTTTCCAGTATTTTTGAACCACTTTAACAATGGGTGATCATCTAGGCTAGAATTCCAGGGTACCCCATATGCTTTCATTGCAGACCTCAACTTCAAGTACATAAAAAAGGAGGTACCTGGCAAAGAATAATCTGCTTGAATATCCTGAAATGTGCGCAATCCACTACCATTAAATATATCACCAAATGTGAGCACACCTTTTAAGGACCAGGAAGGGTAAATGAAAGGCTGATTACCAGATAATAGGCGGGCATTGTTCCAGAGAGGAGACTGACGTGAGATTTTTTTAACGTGACCTGTTATCTTTTCTGCATTGAACCAAGCTTTTAAAGTAGTTGAAATAATATTTCCGAACTTCTGATGTAAACTTCTTGAGCCTACACCAGTAAAAGGCAGATCTTGAAGTCTATGGGGAAGAACACGGTCAGACTCAATGCTTCTCCAGGGTACTTTGGAGTGAGTGTCCACCCAGACACGCATGGCCCTAGTTTGGAAAGCAAGGTAGTAAAGCATTAAATTATGTAATACTGTAATACTGAAAGACTGACTCTAGGATGAATTTAGAGATTAATGAATTCATTTCTTTGAAAAATTTTGGGGGAGGAAAACACGGGAGCATGAAAAATAAAAAGTTAACTCTGGGTAAAATGTTAATTTTAACCGTGCTAATTCTAGCTTGCATTGACATTTTTAAGTTGTCCCACCTCAGCTTGTAACACTCCAAAGAGAAAGGAAAACTTGAAATCGCATCATATGACCCCTTTAATATTGCCAATAAATAAGATGATCAGGTTAAAAGAAGCAGTCAGAATGATTTGCTAACAAATTAGACTGACTTGGTTCTCAACTTCAGTTCTGACTCTGTGAGTCAGTCAGTGGATATATGGTTTGATGCTTTACTTTCAGTTAACATTCATTGTAAGTGCATGGAAAAAAGGCAAGTTCTTCAAAATTTCTCATTTTGTTTTCCAAGAAAGTAATTTAGGTTTGGGAAAAACATGAGCGCAAGTAAATATTGACAGAGTTTTCATTTTGGGTGAAGTAAAATGAATAATTCCAAAGGTAAGAAAGTAATATTCTGTAAGAAAGTAATATTCTGAAAAATAAGTTCACACACGGTGCACTTCCAAAGACAACGTCTGAGCTTAGTTGTGTTACTATAGAGACAGACACTGAGCTCACAGGAGAAATATAATAATGGTCATGAATATCAAACCCCAATCAGTTTTTCAGCAGATTTGATGTTAAACATGTCATTGCATGGAGAGCAGATACGTGTTATTAAGATGTCTTAGGTGTGCCTAAGCTATAGGGTGGTTGGGAACACCATGATGGTTTAACCAGATTTGCATTAGTACCACACTTCAAAATTCAACTGTTCATTTTTGGATATCAATATTTGGATGTCAATCTTGGATAACAATAATACTTTACCTCTGTAGACTGTAGGTAGGGGGAGAGAGGACAAGCCCTGACTCTGCATGTTTATGTGACTGCAATCAGAAAACCAGAAACAGAGACTCATTCAAGTGTATTGCTTGAGTGACGACTTGATAGGACATGCTTATCCAGTATATAAGCAATTTAGCTAGCTGCCTAGGTGTCTACTGCCTACACAAGTAGCGTTTTAACTAAAATAACTGATCTGCAACAGCTATGCACTCCAAATAGACAATGATTATCATATAAAGTGCATGGGAGACTCGACTCGACAAATGATTCCAATGTGCCCATCACTGACTGCACAATTTTCTGAGAAATCTGTCAAACTCAATTGCCCAATATCTGCAGACTGGCTCTGACTTTCGGCAACTAGCGTTGGCATCATCCAGATTGAAAACTGGGGCAAAAGTCTGGGCAGATGTCGTGTAGTGTATTCCGACTAACGATATGCTAATGATACTCTAACTCAAATGATTTTGCTTCAGGACCAAGATTTTACACGGGACACCAAGTGGTGAGAGATAACTCTACTAAAATTGTTTGTCTTACAAATAAATAAATAAATCAAGCATGTAAATGTATTAAAATTACAATGCACTGCATCAACAACGTTAACATAGAAACCTAACTATTTTGTAAAAGCATACACAACAATAGTGTAATTCACCAGCAAACTACAATTAATAAACACTAAGGTAAATATTTTAAATAAATTGATATATTTCCATATTTATCTTGCTATATTATATTTTATTAATATTTATCATAATATTAGATTATTAATTTGCACCCAAATACTATAGAGTGATTAGATGCAGTCAAAAAAAGTATCACAAAAAGCAAATATTGTGTCATGAATATTTATATTAACTTTTTTTGTAATACTTTTTGATATTGAATATATATATTTTTTATAATCAACACTATTGACTTTATCTTTGATCTTCATCTCCATCTTTAATTAATTTTTTTAACTGAGCTTGCATATCTGTGATATTTCATTAACATTAACAGTATCTTGTATATATGATGTTGGTCTCTTGCTATATGCACTTTGAAAACGTCTGCAAACCCTGCAGTATCATTTCTCATGGTTGGCCAGAGCAAATTATCTTGCCCTCCCAACAATCCACCACCCAAAAAACAAAAATTGACATGAGCCATTAATCTTATGTACTATAGATGAAAGCATGAGTGTAGATTTTAATAAATGATACAAATCATCTAAGGCTGTGGTCATTGAGTGAAACATAAGCCTAGTTAGTCCTCATTTTTGTTAAAAGAGTGATGTAAGAATGAGATCAGACAGTAATGAGACCATCCTCTGATCTGGAAGAAAAATGGTTCTTTTGACTCTCTGTACAACACTTGCTGTCAGAGTTAATACAATCTGTTTTAAAAGGCGCCGCTGAAAACCATGCCATTTGAAAGTACAAAGACAATTAGGCTCCATTAAAAGGCATTCCTTTGAAAAGAGGTAATGTTTTTTTGTAAAGATGTGGCATTTGTAATTACAGCTTTGTGCCAATACTATGCAAGGTCAAATTTGAGATATTGCTTTTAGATTTCTTTTAAGGTCTAAAGTCTGAAATTGATTCAAAAGATCAAAGTATAATGAGCAAATGGATTTTGTCCCTAGTACTTTATCTGAGATCAGTTCCATACTTTCTTATAGCACATTAGGCCAAGGTTTGGCAAAGTGCAAACCAGCCTTGGAAGTGGTTCTGGCATGGTCCAATTAACTAACACCTGTAAGGATAAAGTGACGTCTGTTTAACCTGAAAATACACACACAACACAAATACAAATGATAAGCTTTATGCATAATGTTCTTGTTAAGTGTCTCCTCTAAAAAGCCACTAGACACAGATTTATAGTAAATTACAGTCATTTCACACCAGATGCAGCTTCGGATCTTCCCAGCTGTCATCTTCCACAACATAAAACCCACAGTTGTACAATTACTACTGAAGATGTGTTTTTCTCCCTTTCCATAGAAAGACAAAAGAAAAGTTTACATAATATGTTTTGTAGCTTTAAAATAACAATAAATAAAATAATAAAAAATAAATAATGTCTTACTAATAATAAATGCGCTGTAATGGAAATATAATCAAAATGAAATGTTCTCTTAGCAAATATTTAGAAGACATGCAGACAGACTGATGGACAGACAGACAGACTGATAGATTGATAAATAGATAGATAGACAGACAGACAGATAGATGGATATACAGATGTATAGACGAATGGACAGACAGACAGACAGATGTATAGACGAATGGACAGACAGACAGACAGATAGATAGATAGATAGATAGAAAGACGGATGGATAGACAGATGTATAGACGAATGGACAGACAGACAGACAGATATATAGATCGATAGATAGATAGATAGACAGATGGATAGACAGATGTATAGACGAATGGACAGAGACAGACAGACAGATATATAGATCGATAGATAGATAGATAGATAGACAGACAGATGGATAGACAGATGGATAGACTAATGGACAGAGACAGACAGACAGATAGATAGATAGATAGATAGATAGATAGATAGATATATAGACGGACGGACGGATGGACGGACGGATAGATAGATAGATAGATAGATAGACAGACGGATAGATGGAAAGACTGACCCATCTAAGGACAGCAGACCTAGATGCAGTCCTGCATTTATGATGCAGTTCGAGAAAGTGTGTGGTTGTGTATCCACATGATACTACAGCTGCATTATTGGCTCTGGGCTTGCTGTTCTCCTCTGTCCTGGGAGGAAGAGTAGCCAAGCAAGCCATACTATAAATAGTCCCACCTCACCCCAGACTGTGCATTAAGCAAGAAAAATGATGGCACACATGCAAACACACTGCGAACTGAATTAGGAAACAACGGAGCAGCTGTTTTTTGGCCTGGGCATGGTGCAGCAGCAATGTAAACAATTAACAGTCTGTGTGTCCAAATTACAGAGCTGTGAGAAAACGCAGGGATCCAAAGTGCCATTAAACCATGTGTGTTAACTCAAGTTAAACCATGTGCTTACTCAACATAGTAGGTTCCATAAACAGGGTCATCGATTTTCTCCCAGCCATAAGGAAGCTCTGAAAAACAAACAATAAACAATTACATCCACAGAACCATTTAATTCAAAGGTAGATGTTGCAGTTATAATGTAAAAATGTTGTTTTATTAGGATATATATCGGCTCATTCTCTGGAAATGGTGCCATTTGTGGGTTTTGTGTGTCTCTGTGACTTACTGATGTAATTAATGGAACACTGAACATAACATTATTTGAAAGATTTAGTGCGCAATTGCACAGTAACTTTTAAAATAAAGCAATCATTTTACTCTTACATGTTTTTCACATGTAGCATCCAATTACCCATTCATCACCATGACATTTTAATGGGTTGTACAGAATAAAATGTTTTCCTTTTATTGAAAATAAAATATGTTTTCATTGTCTGTACTTTTTTTTCTAAAGACGTTTCTGAAAATTGCTGAATTTACCTTTGTCCTTGCACTTACTGTTCAACTCCATTATGCTGTGACATTCCTGACTTTAAAAATAATGGTCTGATTTTCAGACATCTAAATGGTTAGAATAAGAAATCATTGTGATCAAATTTTAAATATTGTTCTTGGCACAAATCACAATAATATTTGCAATTATATATGCTGAATAAGACAGCCATTTATGAATATATATATATACATATACACAGACAGACAGATAGATAGATAGATAGATAGATAGATAGATAGATAGATAGATAGATAGATAGATAGATAGAAAAATAGAGATAATTTCACAGCTCTGCAGTAATATTTTCAAATTAAATAAATAATTCAGTAAATAAATAGCATTCTTAGTATAGTATTAGCATAAATGACAAAGTTTCCCAAGAATATGCTGTATTCATTGTCTGTGCTAACATTTCCTGTTGTTTAATAAATGAGGGTACACTGAGTTGGTGTCACACCATATATAATAAGACAGAAAAAACTTCACAATTCATTGGTCACAGAGGCTGTATCACCTGAAATCTTATTATTAATATTTAGACTAAAATATACATATACGTGTACACACTAGAATACACACGCTCCATATAGCATGCACACCCTCTGAGCTTCTAGACGAAAGTGACAAGGAAACGCAATGCAATTACAAGCAAGCACACATAGACTCAAATTACACATTCAGCAGCATCGAGCAGGGTGAAATACCAGACTAACCTGCCTGCCCTTTGCAGTAAAAACAGGCAGCAGTTTCTTTTTTGTTAAAAGCTTTGACCTTTACGAAAATGAGGGGGGTGGGGATGAGAAGGAAGGAGAGGAAGGAAACAAAAGCAAGTATGAGGCAGAAACAATATGAACTAAAGCTTTATATGTTTGGTGAATCAATGTTTACAGGCACGACCCAAAATAAATGCCAAATGTGAGTATAAATTGGATTTGGTGAATAAATTGAAAGAATTTACAAGGCGAATATGATTGGTAACTGTTTACTAATAGCAATTATTTATAGGCTTTTCTTTTATTGTGAAGAAGAAAGAAACTAAAGTATTATTATTATAATTTTTATTATAATTTTTTTTTTTTATTTGAGGGACAAAATCATGATGTGCCCATGATGAGTAATTTTTACAGGTGCAAGAAATATAAATATACATTTTTTTGATCAAAAATACAGTAAAAACAGTAATATTATTACAATTTAAAAGTGTAAAACAGTTTTCCAAAATAAATAAATAAAATCTAATTTATTCCTATGATGCAAAGCTGAATTTTCAGCATCATTACTCCAGTCTTCAATGTCACATGATCCTTCATAAATCATTCTAATATGCTGATTTGCTGCTCAAGAAACAATTTTTCATTATTATCAATGATGAAAAGTGTTGTACTGCTTAGCGTTGTTTGTGGATACATTTTTTTAGGATTCTTTGATGAACAGAAAGTTCAAAAGAACAGCATTTATTTGCAATATAAACCTTTGTAACATAATAAATGTCTTTACTCTCATATTTGATCAACTGTCTGCATCCTTGTTGAATAAAAGTACTAATTTCTTTCAAAAAACATACTGACCCCAGACTTCTGAACGGTATTATGTAGATAATACACACTCATATATACATATATAACGGTTCATAACTGGTACAAAACATTTATGAACAACAAGGGTACATTTTCTCAATTCCCCTGTTATGGAATTCATGTGCCACATAGTCAAGCATTTACAGGTGATTCAGGCTTTGACAATGCTGCTGGATTACTAATGTAGAAATAAAGAGCTGACAGAGGAACGAAGGATGAGTGGGAATGGGAGGAGAGAACAGCGGTGCATTGGCTCCATTTGGGATGGTTTGAGTGTAACTGTCTGCTGAACACTTTTAAACCTGACAGGGATGAATATCTCTCTCCCTCTTCTACTCTTCCTTTAATGACTCACTCTCACCAAGTATTAAAGTTCACTGATGGATGGAGTTTGTGTGTGTGCTATCATAAAAACACACTTAATTCTGCATCGTCATCTTCAACTGTCTGCCAGATTCTGCCTCCCAAAATAACACCCATCAATAATGCCACAATACATCTTTTGCTGATAACAAACCCACACAGGCATACTATGAGCTTGGAAGAGGGTTGAGAACATTCTACAAAGACTAACTTCTAACTTCTATCTAACTCCTAGTGATATTAATTTGTATAGTCATGATAAATTAATACTATTGACACTTCCATCAAAGGTCAGTTTTTCGCGGCAAGAAAATCAGAATATCTTATTTATTTATTAACTGAAATACATACAATTTGTGGTCAAACATTCTCAAGTTATGGCCAGGATATAGTCTGAAAAAATAGCATGATTGTGACAACACTGTGTACTTAGTGTACAAGACAAAGTTACAAGACTGTGTATTTTAATGAGGGAAAGAACTCCAATCCCATTTGAAATTTAAACTACTGATTTAAAGTTGTTAATTATATATAAAGAAACAACGTATTTTAGCTTACTGCAAAATATGCACATATACAGAAATATGTAAGTATTTTGAGACTGTAGCTGGCTATTATTTCATTTACAAGGTTTCATTGGAGTGGAAGGCCTCTTTTGGTACGATTTGCTAGTCGCCATTCTCTGATTGGTGGAGATTTCTTTGCAGAATCATGGGTAATGTAGTTTAGCCAGGAATTGTTCTGTTAAACATGACTATTTAAACAATAAGGAATAATGCAGGCTGATGGCTTCAACAAAAGCATGTATACGTACCATCGGTTAACAACCTCGCAACTCACAATAGGTTTTTCTTAAAGGTTTATTGTTAAAAATCATTTACCCTGTGGAGAAAATGAATGGGATTTTTACTTTCGGTACTCTATATAAAGTGCTCATTCACGGCAACTAAACTAATTACTCATGAGGAAATGCACAAAACTAAAAGCAATATCTGCTAAAAAATGCTGTTATCAAGGGACGTTTATGGACCAGCATATTCTATTTAAAATCCAATCTCAATAGTTGCAGCTATATAGGAAAATTAGGCTTTTTGTCGTTCTAAGAATGCACAGTGGCACAAAATTGCTCTGACACCTCATGCAACTTGCATGAATAAACATCTCAGGGAAAATCACACCGTGTGTGCTGTTATGCAACGCTGTTGGGCTTTTGCGACTACATTTTGTTCATTAATTTAGCTAATTTGTACAATATCACTGGCAAAACAAATATAATTCCTGCATTGACACAGCTGTCAATTGATAAAGACGCATCCATCCATCAATCCATCCATGCATCTGTTTCTGTAATATATCTCCACCTGTTCCCAGCGAGTGTGAGCGTGTTATATTTTTTCGGGGTGCTCGCTGACAGTGACGGCTTCAGAAATGATGAAATACAATGAAACACGAGTGACAGACACAGAGAGACATGTTAGTTGTGCTTATTCATTCACTCGCAAACCCAGGGAATTCGCACCATCAGAGAGAAACATCGACACAGGGAGAGAGGCGAGATGACCGGTAAACAGGAGAGACGACTGTGGCATATCTACGGAAACTTCACTCCGTGCCGCGGTAAATATTTGGGGGGAAACAAACAGTCTAGGAACATGAACGTATTAAAGAAAACAGCAGATGACTTTGATTTGCATCCAGAGCTGTGTCTTCCCTGCAGTTTCGAAACAAAAGAGGGCGGCCGAGTTACACAACGCACGTCCACGCAAATCCGCAGTGATGAGTGTTTTCACAACGCTGGCTGACAGGCCTTTGAACTGCGGGAATCCGCTAACATGTGAAATGCGCCGTCTCGCACATGCATGCTAACAAGCAGCCCATGATGCACTGGCACAGTTGATTATATCGTAAACATGAAGTTAGATTTTAGTGCACGAACGTGTGAACTGGGAGGAAGGTAGTGATGAATAAATCCTCTTACAGCAGGCAAAACAGCGGTGAATACCCTTGCAGACATGATTAATTTAACAACGTATTCACTTTCGAGATGCTTCAGCTCAAGATCATTTCACAAACACACTTATGAGTGCTAGAAGTAGAGTGCAGAGTAACCAGCAGAAAAATTTGATTATTACACCTGCTGTAGAATACGTTGAGAGGTGTTTGCCAGTGTAAAATTTACCGCCATGATGCTAGAATGTTCTGGGTGGTTGCTAGGGTGTCCTGAGTGGTTACCATGGCGGTGCTATGTGTTTGTGAAGGGATGTTTGGTAGGGCATTGCAAAATTGCTTGAGTGTTTGTGAGCTTGGTCGTGCAAAACTTTCCCCCATGGTGTCAGGATGTTTTGGGTGGTTGCTATGGCATTCCTAGAATCCCTAAATGTTCTAAGTGGGTTCTAGAATACTGCTTAGGTTTTTTTTGGATGTCTCCACAATACTAGAGTGTTGTCCGTGGTTGCCAAGCCATGCCATTTTTTTTGCCATTAATTATACGGTCACTAGGGTGTTCTGGATGGTTGCCACACTGTTGCTATGTGTTTGTGAAGGGATATTTGGTAGGGTTGTTATATGGTTGTTAGGGTGTTTCTGAGAGGTACTTTGTTGTGCAAATCTTTCCTCCATCATGTCAGGGTGTTTTGGGTGGTTGCTAAGGCATGGCTAAGTGGTTTCTCCGGTGTTCTGGGTAGTTGCCATGGCATTGGTATGCAATTTTGAAGGGATGTTTGGTAGCGCATTGCAAAATTGCTAGGGTGTTTCTGAGAGGTGCTTGGTTGTGAAAAAAACAAGGTGTTCTGAGTGTTTTTTGGCACTTTTAAAGTGGTTGCTAGGGTATTCTTGGCTGTCCTATGCAAAACTTGCCACTACAATCCCACTACAAGGTGTTGTAGGACATTGCCAAAGCATTGCAATGGGGTTCCTAAGGTGTTCTGAGTGTTTGCTTTAGCATTTATGGGTGATTGATATATGTGGAAAGCGGGGTGTGGTTTAAAGGCCTCTGCAGACGGAGAATGAGTGCTGGGGAGTTGATGGTTAAGGGAAACGCCTCTCGTTAATTAAATCTAACAGGTGTTCTCATTTTGCAGTGAGTCAAGAGACAGGATAAAAAGCAGGGCTTGGAGAGAGTGAGGAGGACTGCCTGGGTAGTGTGTCATGCTGTCTCGTGCCCTGCCCAAAAAGAAACAACTGTTGGTTGGAAACGTTTTGTTTGTTTGTTTGAGTGGAAGCTGAAAAGCCCACGTGCTTCCGTTTTGGTTTTGTTTGTTTAAAGAAGTGTCAATAAAAAGGGGCGCACTCGGTTGCACAGCTGACCTCAGACCCTGATTCCCTCATTTCCACACCGGGAAGACAAGAGTTTGTCACAATATATCATTAGTAGATGGTTGCCAGGGTGTTGGGTAACACTTTACTTGAAGGGGTGTGCATAAGACTGACATGACACCTTCATAATCATGACATGACACATGTCATGAATATGAAGGAGGTTTTATGCATGTTTATGACAACTGTCATTAAGTGTCATTCGCTCAGTTATGTCATTTTTAATGCAAATATGACATTATTTGACCTAACCCTAACCTAACCTAACCCTACCCTTACCCCTAACCATAGCCCATAACAAAGACATCTCAAACAATGTCATCTTTGCATTAAAAATGACATAACTGAGCGAATGACACTTAATGACAGTTGTCATAAACATGCATAAAAAACCTTCATATTCATGACGTGTCATGTCATGATTATGTAGGTGTCATGTCATGATTATGAAGGTGTCATGTCAGTCTTATGCACACCGCTTCAAGTAAAGTGTAACCGGGTGTTGTTATACTGCTGCTAGGGTGTTTGGGGTTGGTAGGACATTATGAGATGGACACTAGGGTGTTCTTGGTGGTTGCTAGTATGCTGCTAGGTAGCTGCTACTATGGTGCTAGCCCGTGCACAACTTGCGACGACAATGCTTGGATGTTGTGGGTCATTGCAAAGACATAGCTATGTGGTTGCTAAGTTGTACCAAGTGTTTTTGTCTATGTATTTATTAAGTAGTTATGGGTGGCTGCAGATATTGCTAACTAGAGTGTTGTGATTGGTAGCTAGGACATTGCTAACTGATTTCTATGGTGTTTTGTGTTGCTAAGATAATGGTAGTGTACACCAATACATATTCTGAATGTCTTCCTTATCGGACACACCCAATTTTGCTCTTGCAATCTCCATTTATGAGTTGAATCAAGTGTGTTAGATGATGGAGACATTCAAAATGTGCTCTGTTGGGGGGCTACAGGACAGGTTTGACAAGCACTGTTCTAAGCGCTTTATAGGTGGTTGTTCACCAGCCCACATCAAGGAGTTTAACCCCAAATTTCTGTAACAGGGTAGCCAACCCTGCTTCTGGAGGGCTACCTTCTTGCAGAGTTGAGTTTTAACCCCGTCTAACACCCCTGGCTGTGATTTTTGTAATCCTGAACACTTTGATTAAGTGTTTGATTAGGGTCGAAGTTACAGTAAACTCTGCAGGATGGTAGCCCTACAGGAACAGTGCTGGCTACTCCTGCTCTAGAATATTCTCATCTTTAGATACAGCTCTGGACCTTTCTTCCATGTCTATGGGATTGTTTGACATGGTCTGCCAAACAAAATTGTCCAACTGCTTCGAAAGCCAATAGCAAAGGCTGCATGATTTTACCTAGCAATAATAAAAGTAATGTTTGACTTGAAAGAAACATATTGATAGCCCTTATACTGCAGTTACAAACATTATTTGAATGATTATTTTAAAGCTCTAAGCAGCCACGAACAACCTGCAGTTAGGCTAATGATCTATATTACTTGATTAACGAATTTTAGGAACATTGGTATCTCATCAGACCTTTGCTGTTGTTTTCTAAAAGCAATAAGCCATTTCTGCTTCACGTCTTGTCTAATAACACTTCAAAACTGTGGAAAAATCACTAAAACACGGCCTCTTGTGGCTAGTTGCTTTTTAAACATTTGTCTTTTGGCCATCTGTTTGGAGAATAAAGCAAACAGAGTCAAAACAAATAGAGAGAAATGAAAGATAAACACTAACCGTTCTCTTTGCATTCTTCAGGGGGCTTCGCTTTCTTCGCAAGCCGGGGGTCCAACCAGGACGTCGTCTTCGTATTGTGGCTGGAGAGAAGAGAAATGGAGTAGAAAAGGAAAAGAGATGAAGAGGAAGAGAGAGAGATGAGAGTGCTGCAAACTGCTACTGTAAATCATCATGCTGAGGAGACGAGAGAGACTGAAAGGAAGTCTCCGGAGATCTCATCTCCAAACGAAGGTGAGAAAAAAGTTTAGCTTAACAAAATGGCAATCGATACTTTTAATTAGCTGTAAGCTTCTCATTAGCACAGCAAGAAAGAGAGGAGGAGGACAGAGATGCGAGGAAGATGTGAGTGACTTATGAGGGAGGAGAACCGAACATGAGCGGCGATAAACTGTTTAGCACACAATGTTTTTTCCTCACAATTTTGTCCTCTGAGACCAATTTCAGGAGTCATAATAAAGATTTATTTTGGAAGATTTGGCATAATTGGCAGATTTTTGTGACTTAGTAGTGTAACATGCTTACCAACCGCTAATTAATAGCCTTTGAAATGAATCTCCAACAAAGTTCTGACAGCATCTGAAACCCATCTAGGGAAGAACCAATGAGAGTACAGCAACTGATGACGCAAATGTGAGTGTGTGCGTGTGACAGAGATCCGTTTAAAATGTTGATACTACCTTCTCAATATTTCATACAACATTACCATCTTGTTAATTGGCCAATTATGCTAATTAATGCTACATTCATTAGTTACTTACAATTACATTGAGTTAGCAGTGAAGTATGAGAAGTTCACAAATTCCCTCTTTTATATATATGTATTGTATTTAAACAGCAGATATTGTATTTTATGTGTTCAACACTAATTTCCTTCGGAACAATAAAGTTGATCTAATCTAATCTTTTACCCAGTAATGACTCCAAACACTTCAAGTTCTTATTTGTTTTCCAGGTAAAACCTTGTTTTACATTAGCTCAAGGGCTAGCATGGGTTTGCGCAATACCATTTCATTTTTGATTGTCAGTGTGGATGCCAGCTTTTGATATGATTTTTGATGTCAAAATGATTTAAATGCTGTTGACTGCTACAAAATGCAACAATTTAAATCCAATAAAAAATGTATGGGATTGGAAGATGTTGCAGGTCAGGTTAGTACCTTATTATTTGGGCACTGACAAGGTCTGACACTAATAACGAAACAAAATGAAACAACCAAACCAAACCAAACCAAACCAAACCAAACCAAAACAACCAAAACAAAACAACACAACACAACACAACACAACACAACACAACACAACACAACACAACACAAAACAAAATAACTGAAAACAAAACCAAATCCAAACTAAAACCAAAACAAAAACAAAAACTAAACAACAAAAACAAAAAACTAAACTAAAAACAAAACAAAATAGCTTGGTATGATGCTCAACAGCAACGCTAAACAAATACTTCCAAAAAGTTTTATTATTAATTGCATGCTAACATATTTCGGAACACAAGCAAGAAGCATTTTTGTTCATGTATATTATGCATTCACGTACATTCAGTGTGTTTTGGGGCTTAGTGTTAGACACATATTTGTCTAAAGTAGCAGAAGAAACAGCTCTGAGATCAGTGGGAGAAAGGTAGACTCGACTGTCTCAGTGATGGGACTCGACTGACGGCACTCTGCCAAGTGCCCGGCCAGAGAAATTGCATCCAGGGGCGAAAAGATGGTGCACCTTTGATGTGCTCATTCTCTATGACACGCCACACTTCTGCCCTTGTGTCTCTGTCTTTCAGTTTGTGTCTTTCTCCCCAGTGTCTCTTTATGATTCACCTCTCTCTTACAGAAAATGTATTTAATATAAAAGCATATCATTCTACTGGCACAGTGCATTTCCGCAGCTTATGTTTGGTTGCTTTGGGAGTTTAAATGTGACTAAATGCATGTACAGAGACATTTTGTCATGATTAATTTGGTCCAGTATGAGTGTGTGTGTGTGTGTGTGTGCTCATGGTGAGAGATAGACATATGGAGAAGTGTCTACAGTTTGAGAATTAAAGACGCTCCGTCTGTGAGGGAGATCGAGAAAAACAAGGCACCATCGGCTGCTTGACAACTCCATTAAATCCTCAATAGTCACACTGTGTGGGCCAGAGCAAACTGTGTTTGTGTGCGTGTGGTGTTTCATAAAGCAGTGGACATACAGCTTCTGTTATGAACAGTACAATGTTATGAACAGAAAATAACTACTGTCCCTGTGGAAAAACACAGTACTGTAAAAACACACACACGTTCCTAGCAATCAAAGTGTGTATATTTATGTATGCTTTTTACAAATTTAATTTGTATGAATAAATAATCAGTAAGATGCATTATTTTTCTATAACATCATTAAATAATGACAATCTATGTATTTATGAATGAATGAATGATTAATTTGTGGATGTTCCTAAACTTCTGGAGTGAAATTAAAAAGTATGGTACAATTAATGTTGCACTATTATAGCCCATGGAAACTGGTTTTAAACAGAGATGTTTGTGTAAATGTTTATTGATCATGGCAACAGTGATTCATCTATAGATCAAATGATGAAAAGTGTGTTATAACTGGGCGTATATCCAGATGCGCTGTACAGTCCAACACACTTTTAGCATTTAAAAGAGATGATTCAGGTGGCTGGATTATAGTGGTTTTGGTCCATGTTTGTGCCGTTGCCTGATTTAGATAATAATTTTAGTGATTCAGGCTCTAAATGAACTAATTTAATAAACAGCATTGGGTATGGACAAGGTCTGATGCTAATCACAAAGCCATGGTTAAAAACAAAGCAAAAAACAAATGAAATGAAAAGTGACAAAACAAAACAACAACAAAAAATCTATAATTGACCTAGTTGAGAAAGAATGTAAATGGAATCAACAGATGTCACTGAATCAGAACCTGTATATCTTGCATGAGCACCAAGGCTCAATATGGTCTGGAGCATGCACGCAAAAAACTGCTTCAATGAATTCTATACAAAGGTGCACTCAGTAAATTTTGCTTTATGTTGTCATGTCAGATCATACTTCCCTCACTAAAATAATTATCTAGCACAGTTTTATCATTAGTAGAATATTAAATATTTCAACACAAGCATTTCAGTCAAATATAGGGAAAATATCTGCAACCTGCCGCAACAGTTTAAAAGTAGCCCAGTTCTGTGGGAAAACGATGGGCTTCATCAACTCTGATGGTTGCTGACATAAATATATATAGGATTTTATAATTAAAATCATGAAAAAATACTACTAATTGTATATTACACATATTATAAAATATTATATTATATACATATACTTATTTATTTCAGTAATTCAACTCAAATTGTGAAACTCGTGTATTAAATAAATTCAAGCACACAAACTGAAGTAGTTTAAGTCTTTAGTTCTTTTAATTGTGATGATTTTGGCTCACATTTAACAATGAGAGCCAATGAGCCTTCAAAATGGTCTCTCAGTTTGGTTCACTAGGCTATACAATCATGGGGAAGACTGCTGTGAGATGTACCTGTAGCTGGTCATGTGATCGAAACATGGCATACTGCTCAATGTTAATGATTTTACTTTTTTTTCCTCTTCTTTCCAAAATTACTATTAATTCTATTCATTTAAATCTGTGTAAAAAAATACTGAATGCACCTTTAAATAATGCTGATTATAATTTAGAATTCAAATTCACTGAAAATTAGACAGATACAGATACTCACTCTATAAAGTACACTTCTCCTTTCTCAGTGTAAGCCATCTCCCAGTTATCTGGCAGAGGATCCAACTCGTCATTCTCGTCCAGTTTGAGAGGTGATTTTGGTGGTTCTGTCTCTTCTTTAGGGGCATCTGTGGAGGTCTCGGAGGGGCATGTGGTGGGCATCTCTCCTGAGGCGTCTGTACTCTTGTCTTCATGTTCACTGGACTCTGAAAAATGCAAAAAAAACTGCTTTTAACTGAAGTCCTAAAAAAATCATGCTTTATGTAATCAATTAAACTCTCACCAATATCATGAAAAGTCAATGAAAAGTCTAAGAACAGTAAACTGTTTAAACTGCCAGAATTAAACTAAATCTACAACATTTTAACAAGAGAAACTGCAGACCTACATCTCCGATTCAAACACCTCAATCAATGAAAAAGAAACAGTAGATGTGGATAGAAAAAGATGTAATAAAATTCACCAAAATAATCACCAAGAGAAGCTACACTTATAAAAAGAAGCTGTCAAATTTACAACAATGCAGCGCAATATTCTGGGAGACGTCTCTAAATTTATCGGCACGGCAAGTCTACAGAGAAACCGGTGAATGTGAGCGAGACAGACAGAGAAAATATTTATGAGAGGGAGATGTAACTGAGATTTGGAGTTTCTGAGAGAATTGAAAAGCAGGTCACTGTCAGAGGGGCATGTTAGAGAAGAATGTAAGAAATGATGGAAGAATAGACAGAGATGGAGTTAGCCGGACTGAGACGGTGAAATAAGAGCGGAGTGATTAAAATGGAGTCTGCAGTGAGAAAGCGAGAGAGAATAAGAGGAAAAAAAAAATAGAGAGCCGAACGTGTCCTAGTTTGAGTTATGGAGGATGGAGGTCCCATAGGAAAGGCGCAAAAGACAGATCGAGGGGAAGAGAGAGGGAGAGACGAAAGAAAAAGACACCGAATCCCATAACATTCAGCAGTACTGATGTTTTAATCAACTGAAAAATGAGAGGACAGCTTCACTCAATTCCACACACAAGCTCTGTTCCAAAACCTAGTGAGCTGCCTATTTAGACAACATTTAAAATCATCAAAGGCGCACATCGTCTTTTTGCCACACTTGCCAATGGTGGATAAATTGAGAATATTTTCCAGGCATGTAAAAACCATATATTTGTTTTATATATTGTAAATACCAAAACAATACATCTAAGATGGTGCACAACAGAAATAAAGAATATTCTTATCTCCTAACAATGTGTCTCAGATATTCCATCAACATCTCAGACTGTGCTCAGATATTGCAAGATACCAAAGCTCGCAATGAAAAGTCAGAGATTTCAATATGAGCTCAAACATTTCACATAAAATCCCAAGGCCACATTATTTGGGTTATCCACATTAATATTCTAGCTTTATTATATACTCTTACTTGCTGTCAAAAATTGTCTTATTGATTTCTATTTCCCAAAGAATTTTAAGATAAACGTTGAAAGACAAAGTTGATACTTTAGTGAAGTTGACAAACACCATTTGCAACTCATTTTATGTCCATAATGTTACATATTTCTGAGTGAAAGAATATTTACCCAATTTTTTGACTAGGATGTAGAGGCTGAAGGGTTGGTTGACCCCCCAAAAATAGCATTTTGTCATCAATTATTCAGCCTTCCAAACTCATAAGACTTTCATTCATCTTTGAAACACAAAAGTCAAATATGGTACTGTACCTGCTTAAAGGTGACATATCATGAAAATCGGACTTTTCCAGGTTTTAACTGCTATAATCAGGTCCCTGGTGCATCTACCAACCATGGAAACGTGAAAAAGATTAACCCAGTAACTTTGTTTTGGTAAGCCTTTTTCTGCAAGCGTCTGAGAAAACGAGCGTGTCTGATTTCGATCTCTTGGTGATGTGGCAAAGGGATCTCATTATAATATCACTGCCCCTTAATCTGTAAGTTTACACCCACGGCGCCGTCATTTTGATTTCGCAAGCGACAACGGTGTACCAGTTCTAATGCCATGGCGAAAGTTTGAGCAAAACATGCTAACTGTTCTGTCTTTGGCTGCACAGACGAGCACAGAACACTATTTAGAGTCCCAGCCTCAAAGGAGACAAGAGAGCAGTGGATTTATTGATTTATTTACTAAAATAAACATGCTATTTATTTCCCAGCTGTTTACCTACACAGACATAACCGAATGTTTTTTGTAACTTTAACGTAAACTTGTGTGTGAATGAGAACTTAGTTTAGAACTCGCATGTGACAGCCGCTTTCTGTCCGTGTGCTTCAGATATGTGCGCTCAGAAAACATATATCAGAAGTTTAAACTCATATAGTTTAAAACGCATGATTTCAGCGCGATAAAAATGATAATCAGAACCAAAACAGATGTTTTTTAGCAGGTACGAGCTGTAAAGGTGCAGCTCTATTCTGGAAAAGGGGGCGGGGAGCAGCAGCTCATTTGCATTTAAAGAGACAGGCCTGAAAAACAGCGTGTTTCTGCTTCCACTCAAAATAGGCATTTTCAAAATGATATAATAAATGATCTCTGGAGTATTTTGAGCTGAAACTTCACAGACACATTCTGGGGACACCAGAGACTTATATTACATATTGTAAAAAGGGGCATAATATGTCTCCTTTAAGGCACAAGAACCAATTAGGTTTGTTCTCACACATCAAGCAAGTACAGGTGAGCTTCAATTTACCATATTTGATTTGCTCTATGTATGTGCATTGATCAATTTTGATTGTGGTTTATATGTGAAAAACAGCCTAAATTAAATCTATTCAACATATAAAGGAGAAGACTTGGACTAAACAGCTCAGTTCATATGGATTTCTGTTGCAATGCCTTTATGTACTTTTGGAAGCATCAAAGTTTTGGTAGAAGTTCAATGGAGGTACACAAATCTCGGTAACACTTTAGAATAGGGAACACATATTCACTATTAATTAAGAGTTTTCACTCAATAAAATCCAAATCTGCTGCTTATTAATAGTTAGTAAGGTAGTTGTTAAGTTTAGGTATGTGTAGGATTAAGGGATCTAAAATATGCTTATGCAAAATAAGGCATTAATATGTGCTTTTTAAGTATTAATAAACAGCCAATATGCGTGCTAATAAGCAACTAGTTAATAGTGAGAATTGGTCCTTAAAAGAAAGTGTTAATAAAATCTCTCAGGTTACGTTAAAATGTCTTCATTTGTGTTTTGAGGATGAATAAACATCTTATAGGTTTGGGCGACATGAGGTTGAGTAAATTATAACATAATTTTTATTTTTCATGTTGAATTTAAGTGCACTGAGCTATTAAAGCTATTAAATTTTCCTCTGGCAGTTCTTTATATTACTACATGTCAACAATTCTCTCACTGTGTTCTAATTCACTATGTCATGCTGCTGTATTAAAGCCAGAAGAAAACAAAAGTTTTTTTCAGTACATCCAGACTTGATGCACGTTTCCGCCCCGCAGAGAGTGAAAACCAGGGAATGTGTGATAACACGCTGGTGCGACAGTTGCTAGGCTATTGCCCTGACAACAGTGGTTACTATGAGATAATTTAGAATGGAGGTGGTTGCTATGATAGATGATGCACCTAGTGGCCCGACAGTAGTCACCTCTATGCTAGTAACCCTGATCTGAGGTCACAGCTGTAAATGAACTTACTACACTGGAGAGCCGCACATGACAAGATCTCTCTTCTTCTTAAACTGATTGAGAGATCCTCACCTGGGGTGATGGCCACTACGTTGCCGTTGATGACGGGCCTCTCCTCCTCTTCCTCTTCAGGCGGCTCGATGCCAGCCTTCTCCATGTTGCTGACGGACTTGTTACGTCTGCGTTTGCCCTGTGATCTGGGTGTAGCGCCTGGCAACAGCTGCTCAGCTACATTCAGCAGCAGTGGGCTGGGCTCTGCCGGGGGCTTCGGGGTGCCGTAATAGTTATCTGGAACCAATCAGACATTTGATGCATAATTGACTTTTAATAGTTTATAATGTAAGCTCTGCCACCATGAAGTTACAACTCTGCAGATGGAGAAAGATGCAGTATCAGCCTCTCAGGCAATAAGCAAGGCACCTTTCTCCAGTGGGTGTTTAGTTACTTTGGGGACAAAATTGCTTCCAGAAGTGAGCTACATATGCAAACACAACTTTTAGGAACTTCCGGCAACATGACATGAAAGTGATTCAAGAATAAAGAAAACAATGTTTATTAATTATTTAAAAAAATATGTATTTTTGGTGTAGTATTAGGTTTGGTGTGCAGTAATTAAGAGTGTAGATTTGGTTTTAATAGCAGTTATGTTCGAAACATAAAAAAAAGACATTTTAAAATGAAAAAAATATATTATATATACATTATATATCTTAATGAGTAAGCAACTGAGTCATTCATTCATTTGATTCATTCAAATGGCTGATTCACACACACATTATATATCTTACTGAGTAAGCAACTGAGTCATTCATTCATTTGATTCATTCAAATGGCTGATTCACACACACATTATATATCTTACGTTGGTAATATTTTGTCATGTTTTTGAAAGAGAAGGCTTATCTAAAATACAGTAAACAGTGTGATAACAGTTAATAACAATTGTCTATTTTAATAACTGTGGTCCTCAAGAAACATTTCTTCTATTATCAAATTCGAAAACGATTGTGTTGCTTAATATTTTTGTGGAAATCGTGATACATTTTTCCCCCCAGGATTTCGAAATGATGAATAGAAAGTTCAAAAGAACACCAATTATCAATTTTGAAACATAAATCTATCACTTTTGATCAATTATATGTATCCTACTGAATAAAAAAAGAATAACCTCAATTACCCTTTTTATCTCCCAGTTCCAACTTTTTTTTTAATCCCATGGCGGAAACAAGCTTCCATAGTCTTATGTTCACTAAGGCTGCATTTATTTATTCAAACATACAGTAAAAACAGAAATATTGTGAAATATTATTACAATTCAAAATAAGCATTTTTAATTTTAATATATTTTATAAATATTTTATAAAATGTAATTTATTCCTGAGATGGCAAAGCTGAATTTTCAGCAATCACTATTCCAGTCTTAAGTGTCACATGATCCTTCAGAAATGTATCAGATTCTAATATGCTGATTTGCTGTTTAAAGAAACATTTGTTATTATCAATGTTGAAAACAGCTGTGTTGCTTAATATTTTTATGGAAATCGTGATACATTTTTTCCCCCCAGGATTTCGAAATGATGAATAGAAAGTTCAAAAGAACACCAATTATCAATTTTGAAACATAAATCTATCACTTTTGATCAATTATATGTATCCTACTGAATAAAAAAAGAATAACCTCAATTACCCCCAAACTTTTTAACAGTAGTGAGTATGGGAGTATAATACATATACATACAGCTAATTTTTAAAAAGTCAACAATATTTTAACATGTTTATAGCAATTTAATAATAATAAAAAAGATTTTACATTTTAAATTGAATGTAAAAACACAGTTTAGGATAAAAAAATGGTTAAGTGTCGTTGAGCGGTGCAAACACTTGCTAAGCTAAGTATTGCACGCACAGGACCCATAGTAAGTGTTAACCATTTTTAATAATTCATTTTAATTAATTGTAATTTCATAGGGACATGTCCCTAAACCATCAACACCCTAATCTACACATATAGTAGTAATTATAATTAGCTTTATATAAAAATATGAAAAATAACCTAGATGACTAGATGATGACTACAAGACTAGTCAGATGACTAGGTAAACGTGATGTGTTCATAATATCTTGCTACTCTGAGTGTGGTATTCGTATTGCTCAGTCAGTGAAAATATTGTCTTTGCAAACAAAACAAAACAACTCCATTCAACTTTTAAAAAAAAAGTCCATTCAGCCAGGACTCTGACACCAGTACAACACCACACACAAACTGTTGCTCAAATGACCGAGTGCTGTTCTATGTTTACAGACTCAATGAAAGTGCCATGGCTCCCCTGGGATGAACAGGCTCTAGAGGAGAGCAGGGCATCTGGTTGAGTATGCCTTCAATTCTCCCTGGGTCACTACCTGACATGATGCTGCAGCGTGCAACAGCTGTAACTCATAAATAAGAATGGATATCTATCTATCTATCTATCTATCTATCTATCTATCTATCGTTTGTTTGTACATGTACAACTGCACTGTATCTGATTAATTTTCTACACAGCTGTGATACTTTCATGTATATTGTGACCTTTCTCTATGGGGAGATAATGGGGCAAAAACATAATATGTGGTTGTGCAACCTGGCCAATTTACCTTCATAAGTTCCACTTTCCAGCAAAGCTCCACTTCTCTCCAATTCCACAAACCGCTCAACGGTCACAAAGTTGTAGTCTACTCCCGGAACCTCTCCTTCTTTAGGCTGTCTGGTTGTACCTACAGAGAAAAGAGAAAGGCAGGAGTTCAGGTCAGCGAGTCCTATAAGAGTTTGTGCCGTGTGCTTAATCAGCAGCTAGAAAGTTCATCCAACAACAAAAAAAGGTTTTTATAGCAAAGCTCAACATGAGCCAAACAGAACAGGTTTCCGGCTAACAGGTTTACTTCATCATTCATTCATGCCACATGAGCTGTCTGACAGTCTGTCAGACAGAAAAAAAGAATAAGGGAGGAAGAAAAACAAAATGTCAGGGTTTTGAGGCTTTAAGGTGAAAATAATAACGCAATCTCGTTCATACAAAATGAAACATACAAGCCTGGAGTAATGGTGTTTTCCAAAAACACAAAACAAAAACTGTCTACTCGAATCTTCCGTGTCACATCATCCTTCAGAAATCATTCTAATCACTCTAATAATCATTCTAAAAGAAAGAAGAAATACTTTTATTCAGCAAAGACACAGTGACAATAAAGACATATATAATGAGATTTCTATTTCAAGTAAATGTGGTTCATTGAACCCAATGTTCATGAACAATTCTGAAAAAAAATATCACAATGTATCTGTTTCAAAATTATTAAGCAGCTTATAATAAATTAAAGTTTTTCTATAATAAATTACATTTTAAAGCATATTAAACGTACTGTTTTATACATGATTTAAAAAAAAAATGGTATTTGACTGCTAGTGTATGATAAGAATTCACGTCCAAGCCAAGTCAAGTCTAATAACACTTTCACAGCAAAACATTCTCTTATGGCATTTGTCATGTAGCACCACTATAACACTAGTTGGCATACATTTTACCCTTGTTATGAGACTAGGATGCTAAAAACTGGACCAGGGGTGCCCAACTTCCTGTCTGGAAGTCTCTAGCACTCCAAATTACCTTTATTACCCGGTTCAGGTGTATTTATTCAGGGTTGGAGGTAAACTTTGCAGGATGTTGGTCCGCCAGGAGAATAATTGGGCATCCCTAAATAGCCTAAGGTGGTATGCTGTGTCTTAGCTAGCCACCAAGCTAGTCAGTTTTGCTACTATAATTTTACAGGGCTTTTAAGCTCTTGTTAGTTGCTCAGGGGTGCATTTCCCTAAAGCACTGTTAGCAAACTATGGTCGCAAGTTCCACTGAACTCTGTTGGTAACGATGGAACTTGAGACCATAGCTGCTTTTGGGAGCGCACCCCAGGCTAGAATAACAGCTGGCCGACCAGATGAACAGCAGCTTGGTCAGGTTGGGAGACCAGCTAAACAAGCCTAAAACAGTTAGAAAAGTGTGTGGTGGTAAAATGCTTAACATCTATTTTTACTACCTTAAATGCTAACAATTTCCAAGCTATTTAAAAAGAAATCAACGCACACCACCCCTCACTGAGAGTACAATGAGAACAGTTAAAGTGTATGTACATTAAGCAATGTGTTAAAATGACAAACTGAAGTGTTAATGTATTCCTGCATCCTGCATGTAGCAGAGATGTAATTAGCCAGCAAGGAGTTTGTGCTAATTGCTGCTAGCTGAGAAAACACTGGGGTATTTCTAAACTCTGCATGTTAAGGGAGCTCACTGCGGGAGTGCCAACAGTAAACACCTGAAAGACTCCAGGGTCAAAGACATGACGCTCATTATTTTCAGTATCTATTAATTTATTCAAAAACAAATAAAAAATGTCATTTAAACATAGAATGGTTCGAACACCTCTTCTCTGATAAGAATGTTTTCATTTCTTTTTGAAGGGCAAGAAGTTAAAAAAATGTCAGGGTGGTAAAACTGTCCTGATATCATAATAAAGAAAAAAGCCTGATGATAAGAAAATCTTATTAAAAAGTTCTGGATATCTTTTATTAAAAGGTCACCAAGTGTCTTAAAAATATCAGATAAATTAACCTTTTTATGACAAGCCAAGGTTAGTTAAGGCTGTAAAATGTCATGTGATGTGACATAAGAAGTGAATCATATTTATTATTTTAATTAATTATTAATTCATAAATGTACCATTTCTCACCACACACAGCATCATTAGACACGACTGCATTGCATTTATTAATTTTAAACTTCTTGAAAATGAAACCATATGAAACCAACCAGAATACTATAGTAATTCTAAGAACTTAAACTTGAATTTTAAAAGATTTTTGGGGACTTTCTTCTTTATCATTGACTCGCCAACACTTTAACAACTCTAAAAACCTTTACTCACCGGTTCCCATAAACCCAAGTACCACACATACAGGTGCATCGCAATAAATTAGAATGTCGTGGAAAAGTTCATCTATGGGGTATTGTCAAGAGGAAAATGAGAAACAAGAGACCAAAAAATGCAGATGAGCTGAAGGCCACTGTCAAAGAAACCTGGGCTTCCATACCACCTCAGCAGTGCCACAAACTGATCACCTCCATGCCACGCCGAATTGAGGCAGTAATTAAAGCAGAAGGAGCCCCTACCAAGTATTGAGTACATGTACAGTAAATTAACATACTTTCCAGAAGGCCAACAATTCACTACAAATTTTTTTTTTATTGGTCTTATGAAGTATTCTAATTTGTTGAGATAGTGAATTGGTGGGTTTTTGTTAAATGTGAGCCAAAATCATCACAATTAAAAGAACCAAAGACTTAAACTACTTCAGTCTGTGTGCATTGAATTTATTTAATACATGAGTTTCACAATTTGAGTTGAATTACTGAAATAAATGAACTTTTCCACAACATTCTAATTTATTGAGATGCACCTGTATAGGCCTAATATTAGAAGCAAACAACATAGAAAATTCCTGTACCCAGTTTTTGTCCAAATACTGGCCGACGTCAAGCGGTGACACTCTCATCCATTACCTGACCTACCAAATACCAGTTCACAGCAATCAAAATACAACTACAAGCAGTTTAAAAACCACATCGGACAGCATAGATTTGCACTATGGGAGCCCAAAAGGAGCCCTGCACAGTCATTAAGCTGTCACTAGTGTTTGAAACTCACATCATCTCTCATCGTCTATCAATCAATAGCTACACAATGACAACAAGCCCCAGAGCCGGGTGTCTTTCCACCGTGATAGCCTATGATGGGCATGCTAATGACAGGTCACAGGAAATAGGGGCAAATGGAACGTCTCCACTCTCACAACCCATGTCTTCTCGGGGCGAGCTTTGACTGAAGACTGCGCAAAGACTGCCTCATCACGACAACTAGAATATCTCACAATACCGCCGGCTACCCAAGCGTGTAATAACATAATGAAAAGAAAATGAATCCACTACGACCATTAAATCGCTTGCCAACATCGTCTTAAAGCTCAATTTGTTGATAAATCATACTTTAAATAAGAAAAGCAAAATGCTGGAAGATGGATCGATCTCAACGCCAGTGATTTCTTCTCAGGAGAGGCAGCTACCTTGGCAGAAAGGCTTTGTTGACGAGATGCGCATCAATCTGTTTATCTTGAGCTGATACAAACTGTAGCTGGATGCTCACAGAAAACATTTCTCACTGGCTTTCTAAAGAATAGCAGACATCGTCAGTGACTGTTGGCTGTGACTGTCATGTAGCAAAGACGCTTTTCATCAATACATGGTCAATTTTAAATGGGAAAGACTGTAAAGTTACAACATTTCGCAGCAGAGGCTTACGTGGCTATGCTAACTAACTAACTAAAATACAGGAATAACTAAACACACACACAAAAAATCACTCTTGGTGGCCTTATAAATGTTTACAAACATTACATTAAATATGTATTTCATCAGACACAAGCTTTTTAAGGTTGCTGAGAGTAAAGAAAGGTTGTGTGTAAAGTCCTTATATGGAGATAATTTTGGTGTGTTTATACAAATGACTAACCTCGGGCAAAGTTGGTTAATTAAAAAAAGCCAAATTCATTAACATTACCACAAGATTAAGAACAAATATGTGTGTGTGAATTAGTCAATTATTAGTGAACATGACCCAATGACTCTATGGAACATACAAGTCAGTTTTAAGGTTAAAGGTAAATATTATTACCTGAATATATTATATAATTTTTTTTCTGAGTGTCTATGCTAATTTCAAAGTGGACCTTTGAAGCTGGACAGCTATAATTAGCCATGCTATCCAGTGGGTGCTTTTCACGATGACAGTGCGTTCTCATGGGAGCACAGGTGAATTGCTTCCAGTTTTGAATGTAACTAATTTTCCTCGTAATACTGAAGTCTGGGTCATCTCATATTTGTGAACTCCTGTGCTACTAATGCTTTTCTAGCTGTCTAAATTCCATCACGCTAATAGTCCAGGTTGATGTTTTACAGCTCTTTCACTTGGCTGACTTCAAGACTTCAACACACCTGTAAACACAAGTGCTACTGTATGGCACTCAGAAGCGTTAAAGATGAAAGGGAGGTAATGCAGCCAGAAAGCTGAAAGCACAGTCAATATGCTATTAACACTGAGCCATACAACTCATTATGTCTAGATACACACAAGATAGGTCTCTCTAGCATCTTGTGTAGATTTTTTTTTATGCATATTGTCCATTAGTCCTTTGTTCCAAAGAGTTCAATGCATTAGGCAATGTTAATTTGTCATGGACTTTAACAAGTTAGTGCAGATAATAGACATATATCACGGGATAATACTTAGGAAAAACAATGTAAAATACGATCCTTTTATTAAGTTTGAGCTTCCCTCTAGAGTGTTTTCATAATCAAGCTTTTAACCAATTTACATCTAATTCAGCTTAAGTCAGAAAGTGCTTTCCAGTTTACCAACCTCTAGAGGAAGAGAAAAAAGTGATTCTTTCCACATGAGCAATCATGGGCTGCAGCGATTTGCAAAAAAGGCACACAGCTAGACGGCTAGTTATTTGTCCTCAGTATTGTCCACTCGGAAGTGGCATCATCTTCATGTGTACAAAATGTACTTCAATATCTCACGCAGAGAAGTGGGGGGGGGGGGAATACTATCTGGAAATAGTGCCTTTGCACATTTGCTGAAGCAAGGTAGAAAACGAAGAGAGGCGTGAA